CAGAGCTGGAAAAGTTGACATTAGCACCTTGGAGAGCAGCAACTGAATACTAAGTCTCTAGGGTCTCCCATAGGAAGGGACCTGTGTCAAAACCTCCACAGTTTCCTTAGGGACATTCAGGCTTTCAACATCATCAACCTGTTAGGTGTTATTCTAAGCAAGTCACTCAGTAGGAGGGGAAGCTGAATGGTTTTGTCTTGACTTCAGACCATCTTGCATGCCCGTACAGCCAGGCACGGGATGGGGATTTTTCAGAAGTTTCTGAAGACTTCCTCCTTTATCCCTTTTAATTTCATGAGCTACTGACTTCCTACTTGATTTATTCCCGGCTTATGCAATGCTCCAGGAAAGGCAGCCCCGACACCTGGCAGGCTCCATGATTTGAACACAAGGAAATGTCAGAGAAGAGGTATGGCAAGGATTTTTGTTGGTTGGGTGGGATAAATTGGGAGCTGGCAAGGATAAGGTCAGACAGAGGATCTTCGTGGCACAATGGAAAAGTCCAACCAGAGCTGAAGCCAGGAGGAAGGCCCAGCAGCTCTATCCCCGGGGTAACAGAGCTCTCCTATCCCGAGTATCAGCTCTGGGGCTGAGTTCTCAGATAGAGTAGGAAGGAAGGGAGCCACTTCAAAACACGGACTTCTAAAGAGGCAGCCTGTACTCTTTCCCCTGCACCTTCTGAATGCAGAGAAGATCAAGGCCCTAGGGATTAATGCAGCCCCAGAAGAGAAGGGAGGCTTTGTCCCTTAGTCACAATATGAAGAGACAGGCTGAGGCCAGTATGGAAACCACACTTCCATCTTCTCTGAGCCAGTATGCTTTTAGGCATCGTCTCCCTCATAAAGAAGCTCAGGTGTCCCAACTGCCCTACACCCTAACTGCTTCCCCCCTGGGAGGAAGGACAAGCAACATGATCACAGGCTGAGAGCCACACACCCCGATTTGCACAGATGCACACCCAGGGGTCGCTTTCCCACTCCAGAAAGCTTGACTGGCTTCACTCCAGGGCAGGCCTCACTCCTGTTGGCTCCCAGAATTTCACCGCAAGAACATCCCAGCTGCGCTGTCATCTGCTCGTGTGATTTTCAGATTCCTGTTTACACGCTCACTGCATTTTCAAGTCCGCGTTCCTCTGAAATGTCTCAAAGGATACACTCAAGATGCGTGTGCATTTCATTGCTTGTGAATTTCCCCCTTAAACATCATTATGAAAAGTCTTACATTCTGGGTAAAAGATGTGTTTGCAGCAGAGTTTCTGGGTATAAGGACAGGATGTGTAACTTGCTCTGAAAGGCATTTTAAAAGTGGAGGGACCCACAGGGCTCCATGCACAAGAAAGCAAACAGTGAAACATTCATTGTAAAATCTCCGTGGGGGATTTTTTTTATGCAATTCTTCCAGCTTTTGTGTATTTTTAAATATTTTCACAAGACAATGTTGTGGACTCTGCTCATGAGCCCAGAAATCACACTCTTGGATTTGCTTTCATTTTTACTTGATATTAGGATAGGAAATCTTTTCAAGATTGTAGAAAAATGGGTGTGGGGGAATATCATTCTTTTGACTGTATCATGAATATATCTTTCAGCTTCAACCATCATATCATCAATGGACTTTTGGGCTACTGTCATCTTTGTTGTTGTTGTTGTTACCAATTGGTTCTAGTAAATATCATTTCACACAGATCCCTGTACTGCTCAGTGTGAGCTTCTTCATATTTTGCAGATTAATATTCACTCCAGAACAAGAACCTCCCCTAACCCTGTCCCACCCCTAATCCAAACCTATGAACATGGCAAGAGTAGGGTCAGAAAAACAACCAGAAAACCTTCATTTAAACTTTACAGCACACTTAAAAAAAAACACTTGGATCATTCCAACCACTGCCCATGAAGCACAGAGTTTGGCAAAGCTGAAGTTAAAAATCGAAGGCGTCTTAAAAATACAGGGTTAAGAGTAAAATTCTGAGAAGTAAGGCTGAGTCATAGTGAGTCACACATTCAAAGGCTCTGGGATAGAAGTTCTAGAAAGTTCTACCTCCAAGAACAAGCCCCCACCTCTGTTGAGTTCTCTGCCAGGTAAACAATGTTTCACCTGTGTAGTGGGAAAGTCAACTCTCCAATTTGCTCTTCTTCCTCGGCAGACTTGTTTGGAACTCAAGAGTCTTCACACTTGTTTCCTGCCCTGTTTCAGGTTCACAGGTGTAATAATGCCCATGTCACAGGTGTAATTCCCTAGTCACTGCACAGAAGATCACAGAGCTTCACAGCATGTTTTTTTGGGACAGACCTGCTACCATGGGGGTCTTGGGAAATGAAAGCCCTCCAGGCTGATCTGTTTCATCTTTGCAGGGTGGGTGGGGTGAGGGGTGGAGCCTCACACTCCTCCGTTCCTCTGCAGGGGACTGACTTCTGTATTCATCCAAACTGCAAAATGCTGCACGCATGAATTCAAGCATAACACCAAGGTGGGCATAACTTGAGTTGCAAATGATTGTTATATATCTTGAAAAGGATCACAGGGTGTTTGTTATTCCATCCTGCTTCCATGACATACCATTGTTTTCATCTTTGATTTATTTGATGCTCCATCCCCAGTCTGGAACAGAACTCTCAATTATTGTAACAGTTTCCATGGAAACATATGATCTATTCGCTCTCATCTCCTCACTGTTCCCTGATGATCCATTCTCCCATTACCCCACTCCCATCCCCAGCCCCAATCCTTGCCATAAGGCCCTCTGGAACTTTTATTGCTTCATCAGAAATTCTCCATCCTATATTAGTAAGTGATCAAACACATGTGCACAGTATGCTGACTTTTGAGTTAACAAGGATGTGCATAAAAGTGTTAAATTAGCAGAGAGAGGTCGTCAAGACGAAAACTAAATGAACCAGTGCTCACCTATGGAGGCCAGCAGCAAGGAGAGTCAGAGAAAGAAAGTATGACCTAGTGACAACGTGAGAAAAGTAAATGGAGTGAAGAAGGAGTTGAGTGGCCACCTGCAGTGGGGGTTAGGGGAGACCTCAGAGAGCGGACAACACCTAAGTGGAGAAGTGAGCGACACAGAGCAACACAGCATCATAAAAGCATGAAGGGAGGAAGTGTGTTTCAGGAACCTAAGAGCTGCCACTATGGTCAGAACGTGGTGGGTGCTGGGGAGAAAAAAAAAGAAGAGAAGCAGCAGCCAAGTAGAGAACAAGGTCAAGTTACAGAGGCTGGGAGAAGTCAAGGACATAGCTGAGAATTTATGCCAATTGTGATGGGAGGTCATTGGAGAGTGGGTTTTTGTAGGTGAGTATTTTGTTTACTTGAAAGGCAGAGTTGTAAAGAATAGAAACAGAACCTTCCATCTGTTGATTCATTCCCTCAATAAGCACAACAGCTGGAACTGGGCCAGGCTGAAGCCAGGAGCTCGGAATTGCATACAGGTCTCTCACATGGGTGGCAGGGGCCCAAGTATTTGGGCCATCTGTTATTTTCACAGGTGTGTGAGCAGGGATCTGAGTGAGAAGTGGAGAGCCAGGATATGAACCAGTGCTCACATGGGATGTTGGTATCACAGGTGATAACTTAATAGATGCGCCACAACACCAGCTCCATTGGAGGATTTTAAGGAGTGAAATGACTTGACCTAATGCAAGTTTTTAAAAATTACTATGGCTGGGGGCCAGCACTGTGGCAATAGCAGGTTTAAGCTTCTACCTACGGTGTCAACATCCCATATGCATATTCTACACCCAGCTCTGATCCCAGCTCCCAGATAATGTGTCTGGGAAACCCAGTGAAAGATGACCCAAGTTCTTGGGCTCCTGCATCCACATGGGAGACATGGAAGAAGCTTCATGTTCCTGTGTTTGTATTAGCCCAGCTCTGGCCTTTATGACCATTTGGGGATTGAACCAGTGGATGGAAGAGCTCTCTCCTCCATCTCTCTCTATAAATCTGCCTTTCAAATAAAAACATCACACATCTTAGAAATTACTGTGGCTGACAAATGGAAAGTATAATGATCACAGATACGAGACTGAGTGTGGGAAGCTAGTCGGGAACAAGTGGGTGGTTAGGGTGGTGCACGTGGCTTCGATCAGGATTGCTTTAATGAAGACGGAACCAAGTCAGGGCAGGTGTGATGCACTTCAGAGAGCTGTCAGGATTTGTTGATGCATCACACTGGGTGGTAGGGAAGGCTACGAAGCAAACAGGGGAACTGACAGATAGCTCCCCAATTCTTGGCTTGTGCTACAAAGAAGAGGAGGAAAGAAACTTGTAATTTTTGCACACCTGAGAACGTGACATGAAATTTAAACGAGGCATCTTTGTGGCACACAAAAAGAACAAAAGACTCCAAACAACACTAAGCCGATCAGGGATATGTATAACACCTGCCCAACTTGAGGAAAGCCCCTCTTCATGGCATCTGTAAAAGCACCTAGGATCACTTGACACGCCTCAGGGTCACTCTCCAGCCGTTCAACAAGAACTGTTTCCATTTTTGGCTCTCAGGGTCAACTTTTCCAACAGGCAAATCTCATCATGTCACATCTCTGCTTCAAAACTTTGCACAGCTCCCTCTGTGCTGCGAATACAATGCTAACTCCTCATCGTAGTTGATGAGGTTTTGCACAATCAGGCCCTTGATTGCCTCTGTGACCTCATACGCCATCATCACCTCCTCCTGGGCCCTGACACCTTCTGCCGATATTGAAAATGCACCCCAGGCCCTTCACACATGCTAGAAACCCCTTCCCAGCACTTAGAAGAATGCATGAGGATTCATTCTCATCCTTCCATCTCAGCTTTACTGTCACCTTTCCAGCCTGAAAGGAACACCCTCCTTCTGTCTTCACCCACTCTTGATCAGCTTGGGACACAGAACTCCACTCATTTCCTTTACAGCACTCATTCCAAGCTCAGGTAAAGGTCTCGTAACTCTCACATGTGCCTGCCCTGGGAGCTGTTCCTTCCCGAGTGGACACAGTCACCACGCCATACTGTACCTTGCCAAAGCTGCCTTTTCCCAGCACCATCAGGAAGTTAAAGTCAGTCAGTTTCATCCGGTCCCGGTTGCCATTGTTGTCAAACTTGGAAATAGTGTTGGTTGTCTTTTCTTCTGGAGTCTTGGTCCCTTGGCCAATCTTAGCCCTCTGGAAGAGGAAGCATATAGCAAGTATGAGTTGGGTTTGAGGACACACTTGGAGAAAGACACTGCACTCACCCACTGGACACTGGAGTTTCCGCAGAGTGGGTACCCTCTTCCTGGGAGACACATAGCCAGATGACGCATCTGCAAATCTCCAACCTCTGTTAGCCTTCGGCATCTACGACTCCTATCCCTGTGTCTCATTGCTCTCACCAGGAACTGTCATCTTGAAACCTATTTATTCATGCATCTTAATTTTATTTGGAAGACAGAGATAATGTTCCAACCTCTGGTCTCTCCCCAACTTCCTTCAATAGCCAGAACTGAGCCGGGTCCAAGTCAACAGCCCGAGTGTTCCATCAGGACCTCCTGCAGGTGTGGCAGAAACCCTGGCACATTAGCTATCCCGTTACTTCCCAAGGTGTGCATTAGCAGGGAGCAGGAATCAAGAATGGAGCCAGGATTTGAATCCAAGAATTGTGATGTGGGAAGCAGGGGCCCCAAGCAATGTCATATGGGTGCACCCAACGCCTCTCCAGGAACTGTCACATTTCCTCTCCTCCGTGTCCCTAAAGCTCATCTATGTTCTTCACCTCTGCCAACACTACCTGCCAGCACCTCTCACTTTTCACTGGTCTGTGTGGTCAAGCTTCACCTGACTCTGCAACCTTATCACTTCTCAGGCTTCTCTTCTCTACAAAACCCAGTTTCATGATCCTTTCACCGCCCCCCCCCCTTCAGTGCGCCAAGCCCTTGGCACCTGCCATTTGCTGCCCACTCTTTCCCTATCCCCAAACTAGTTATTGCCTCCCGTGTACACCTCCACAGGGGAGCTTTCCTTGATTGCCTCAGTCTGAACCTGGCTACCCTGCTGCGTCCTTTCTTCATTCACTTCATTTCCCATTAACAACGGTCTGCTTTCCCGCCTGTGAGAAACTATGAGGGTCAAGAATAGGTCTTTAATTATAATAATGATAATAACAATGCTAATACTATTTCTACTATACTACTACTAATACTAATAATAAGGCATGGCACAAAGGCTTAATTGGTTAATCCTCTGCCTACGAGAGCCAATATCCCATATGAGCACCATTTTGTGTTCTTGGCTACTCCACTTTCCATCCGACTCCCTGCTTGTGGTCTTAGGAAAGCAATGGAGGATGGCCCAAAGCCTAGGGACCTTATACCCATGTGGGAGACCCAGAAAAGGCTCCTGGGTCCCAGCTTTGGATTAGCTCTGCTTCAGCCATTGCAGCCATTTGAGGAGTGAACCAGCAGATGGAAAATCTTTTTGTCTGTCCTTTTCTCTTTAAGTCTGCCTTTCCAATAAAAACAAATACATCTTAAAAAAAAAAGTGATCTATCTTTGCTTATTTGAAAGTCAGAGTACAAGATAAAGTAGGAGAGAGAGAGAGAGAGAGAAAGAATCTCCCATCCATTGGCTCACTCCCCAAGCATTCCCGAAAACCAACATTGGGACCGCCCAAAGCCAAGAATCCGGAGCTCAGTCTGGGTTTCCCACAATGGGTGGCAGGAGCCCAAGTACCTAAGTCACCCCCTGCCTCCTCCCCGGCTACTTGTTAGCAGGAAGCTGGGTAGGCAGTGGAGCGGAGACTTGAATACAGGCTCTCCACCATGGCTTGTGGACACCCTAAGCAGCATCTTAACCCCCCACGCTGCATGCACACTCCAGGAAGATGTCATCTTCTCCCCATTTTTCCTGACAAGCAGTGGAGCTCTCAGCTCAGTATCTGCTGTGTAATGGACGTGTGACGCCTAAGTGTGTCTTCCATGCAGTGGGCAGGGGCTCCCTGCTGTGAGCCTCTGGCCAGTGGCCTCTAGGAGCAGCAAATGCTTTGGGATAAGGAGAGAGCGGGACATTAATGGCCCATGACACGTAGTGCCCAGGTTTTTGTGACTGGCCTCAATTGTACCAGAGAACGAAGACCATGCACTAAAAGGTTCAGCTTGGACTTCTGACTCTGATACGGCTCAGTCACGTGGTCCTGAATCAGCTCAATGGCTCAGGACACCCTCCTACGAAACATGCCAGCCCCTCCATGGGATATTCCTTACTACGTTTCTGGAACATTCATGCTCCTTGAGAAACAGCCACATCCCTGAGGTTGACCATGGGCCATCACTAGCTCCTGGCCTGGGACACAGAGATGGGCAAATCTCCAGGCTTCCTGAGACCAAGCTTCTGTCTGCAACCCCCCCTTTTTGAGTTTGACATCTCTCTTGGATCTCTTTGCATCTTCCACTGCTGCTGCCTGGTTCTCCCGGACCAGAATTTTTCTTTTCCAAAATAGCAAGTGTAGGTAAGAGAGAGGGAAAAGTTACCCAGCCTGGCTTTAGGCTTGTTGAGATTCCATCCTGCAGTGGCTTGTTCAGAGCTCCTCTGAGGGCTCATTTACACCGTCACCATCCATAGACTAAGCATCCACCATTTTATGTGTCTTTTTTTGTAATTAACAGTTAAAAAAAAAATAAGGTGGGTACGCTGCAATGCACAGATCTTCAGTGCAGGGTTCTATCAGTTTTGACAACTGCAATATACTCAGGGAGGTCACATGCCGAACAGGCCAAACGTGATACAAAGCACTTCTTCACCCTCAGGAGAGTCCCCGTTAACCTCCCTTCTGCCCAGAGGCACCCTCTGTGCTGGCATCCTTCCCTACAGGTCAGTTTTGACTGCTCTTGAATTTAATTAAGACAGAATCAAAGAGTAGGAGGTCTTCTTTCCATCTGGGTTTCTTCCTTCATCAGAATGCTCTTGAACTTCACCTGCGTTGTTGCCTGAATTGCCCAGGGTTTCCTATGCGGGGCTGAGTAGCATCCATTGTTTGTGCTCATCTGTTCTCTGTGTGAGCATTCGAATTGTTTCCATTTTGGGGGGCTGCTATCAAAATTGCTGTGAACACAACTTGGCTAAGTTATTTTGTAGAAAGACAGGCTGAGACTTAAATGTCTTTGGGATTGGGGTCAGGATCATGGCACAGTGGATTAATGCTGATTAATCACCAGAGTGCTGATTCTGGTTCCAGCTGCCCTGCTCCCAATCCAATTCCCTGTTAATGTGCCTGACAAAGTATCCAGGCCCTTGCCACCCCTGAGGGAAGATCTGGAAGAAACTCCCTGTCAGTCTGCCCTTCCAGTAAGTATATATTAACAACAACAACAACCATGTGGTTGTATTTGTGAGTTTGCAGTTAGGATTCCCTGAACTGCAGACAGAGATCTAAGGGCATCTTACTCCTAATGGCGACTGCAATAAGAACGAACCTAGGGCAGAAGTGGCACTGACTTTCTTGGGCTTATACCATCCCCAATCCTCTTACCCTGTACTCTGAAAGTCACACTGGCCCGAACACTGTCCCTCCTATCCGCCACACCCCACGATCTCTTTACGATGGCATCTCCCACCTTCTTTGAATTCTGACTCAGAACCCTTCAGATCACACACTCTGACCTGTGAAGTCCCAAGTCCTGTCCCCCGGCTCCCACTCTAGCTCATAAGCTTTCCTGGCCCATCCTTCCTGCAGGTCCCAGTGCACAGGGACTGTGAAGCAACCATGGAGCTTACACCATCCAATCCCTTCATTTGACTCTGCTTAGACAAACCAGCAATAAAGCACATTCTGGAAAGGGTTTGGCTGCTTTTTCTTCTTCTTTTTTTAATCCTTCAGGGAGCAGCAGGTAGCTGACAGCTTCACCTGGGGGTCCTTCTTCTGAATGCATGCCCACCTCAGTTTGCTTTTGTGACTTTTCTCATGGGAATAGTCTCTCACCTTCCAGAATCTAGACCAGAAGCCTGAAAATGCTACAGATCTAGTCGGCGTTGTGTTTGTTATTATTTTAACATTTAAATTAATTGCTATTCTCTACAGAAAATCAAGAGTCATCTGCTAGAAGCCCTGCTGTGTAGTTTTCTTTGAAGACATGGATCCAGTAATACAGAGTGGGACCAGGGACTTCCCCTTTTAGTTCTCGGCCTGGCTGCTGAAAGCACTGACTCTGATTCCATCACGAAGAGTCTTTGAAGGACAGGCACCTGCCACGTGTCCTTCCCAACAACCCCATCCCACCACCACAGGTTCCAAGGAGCCTCATACCCAGCCGCCACTCCATCAAAGAGTGAGTATTTCAAAGGTGAGACCCAAATTAAAATTGTCCTTTCTCTTGCTGGGCAGGATATGCCTACAGAAACAGGAATACACTAATGGTTGTCTTTCATGTCTGCAATTTAGAGGCCCTAGAACACGGCGCTCAAAGAGAAAGCAAAAAGCACTTTCCAAGGCGCACAAGGGGATAGCAACTCCTCAGCAGCCAGGCCGCAGTCTCCATTTCCGATGACGAATGCCTGTCCCAACTTACACTACAGACTCTGTCACCGCCAACCACCCCCACGTACACTCCCAGCTGTTCCACATGACAGGCACAGCCCTAAGTGAGGAGTCCCTGTAGCTTCTCTCCCATCCTCTCGTGAAGCCCACAAGCTTGGCTTATTCCAAGCAGGGAGCTGATAACAACAGGGACAGCAATGCCACTAGCACTGACATTAGAATCCTTATGATATGCTAGACACATCTCGGTGCATTACGTTATCCAAGTCTCAGGAAGCAGACAAGGCAAGAGGTGTGGTCATATCTTGCCACACAAGAGGTGAACATCCTGAAGTAACTTGCCAGCAGTCACTCTGGAGCAGTCTGCACCCCTGGGCTCCAAGTGCAGGCAGTCTGCATGCTTAACTGCGAAGCCACATGGCACTGATGCAGCCACTAGTGTGCTGCCAGGCCCACCCCACACTCTTCTACATCCAGGGCTGCTCACTGCAAACACCTGTCATGCTCTGCCTTGGGGCTTGTTTCTGGCAGCAGGAGCAGGCCCAGCCCAGAAGCAGCCTGGAAATGCGGGAAGCAGCCTTCATTCAGCTGATGGGCAACACCTCAGCTTCCTATCTCTGGTTTGGGAGACTCAGGTCTGTACTCCGTGCAGACTCTCGGAGCTCTCCTACAGGATTAAATCCCAGCTGCACCATATTCCTTTGGTATGCATGGAGAACTGTTGCTGTCCCCCAACTCCCCGCCAAAGATGTCTGCTGTCACATAACATGGTAGAATACTGGCATATAACCTACACAACCCTCCACGTATTTTGGTTTGATTTACAACACCTATCTCAGTGTAGCTGGTACATAAATCGGTGTTACACTGTCTCGCGGAGGGAATGACAAGAAAAATCAGTCCTTGCTCAATACAGACACAGTGTATGCTTTTGAATATTTTCATTGTTGGATCCAAGGGTGCAGAAACCATCCTGATTGCTTTTCTTTTCTTTTTTTTTTTTAAGATTTATTTCATTTTTTATTGCAAAGTCAGATGCATGGAGAGAAGGAGAGGCAAGAGAGGAAGATTTCATCCAATGATTCACTCCCCAAGTAACTGCAATGGCTAGAGCTGGGCAGATCCAAAGCAAGGAGCCTGGAGCTGCATCTGGGTCTCCCAGGCAGGTGCAGGGTCCCAAGGCTTTGGGCCATTCTCGACTGCTTTCCCAGGCCACAGGCAGGGAGATGGGAAGCAGGGTTGCCTGGGTTAGAACCAGCGCCCATATGGGATCCCGGTGTGTTTAAGGCGAGGACTTTAGCCACTAGGCCACCGCAGCAGCCCCACTTCTTTTCTTTACCTCACTTCCCCATGAGCCTAGGCTGCTCGCAGGGATCACCTCCTAAGTCAACCAGCTGCACCAGAGTCTGTTTCTAGGGAGACTCAAACCCAGGACCATGGCCAGCTCTCGGGGTTGGACAGTTACTGAACTCCTCCTAGCCTCACTTTCCTCATCTGGAAGGGCGAGCTAGAGGAGGAAAAGTGTTCTGGAGCAGCGGCTTGGTATGCCTGTGTCTCACAGTGGGACTGGGGTGCCTGGCTTTGAGTTCTGACCCAGCCCCCTGCTGATGCACATCCCGGGAAGCCAGGAAGCAGCAGGTACTTGGGTCTCGGGCACCCACCTGAGAGCTTCAGCTTGGGCCAGCCCCAGCTGTCACAGGAATTCAGGGAGTGTATCGGAGGATGGAAGGTCTGCCTCAGTCTATCTCTCCATCCCTCTGCCACTTTGCCTTTCACACAGAAATAAATCAAGAAACTCACACATTCTACAGCAAAAGAAAAACGGGAGTCATGATAGAACCTACTATTCCGGATTGTTACGAAGATTAAATTAAATGAGCGCCGTGTGTTTGTCAAGCACTTAGTAGAATAAATGGCACACGGTGGGCACTTAAACGTAAATTCTGAGACTTTCAGGAAAGCCACCCACCCATAATCAACCAAAACAGAGAATTTCCCTTCCTGACCCACCGGCAAGCCCACCATCGGACTGAAAGCACCCCCAAGCTGATGTTCCAAAATACACCACGGGTACTAACTCTACCACACACACCCCACCATAAGACTCCACTACCCCCATTGCCGCAGCTCGATTGGACTGTCACCCAGAATTCCTCCAGATAAGAGCTTTCAAATAATTCCTGAGTCATTCCCGGCGCTAATTAGTTCTTGCACAGGGATTATATTTCTCACGTTCAAGGTCAACCGAACCTCCAGTTTGTGTCTGAGAACAATTTTCGGTCTGTTGGAAGCCTTTTTTTTTTTTTTAATCAACCACTACAGTATGGAATGATTATGATTCAGGCATAAACAAGCATTTACAGAGCTCTGGCTAGAAAGAAAGGGACACATTTTGCTGCGTGCAGATAGCACCATCCTTCATTCAAGCCAATTCTTGGCCCAGACAAATCCTGCGCTCAGCGAGGAAATGTTTTCCTGGGTGCTCAGAAATGTCACCCCAGCTGCCCCAGGACAGGAGACATCATTTTACAAAACCTGAACCTTCATTTTGTACAAGAAAAGATTGGCTTTGTTTTTTTTCCCCCTTTTCTTTTTAAATCCACCATAGTATATTTTCAATACACAGCAAAGAGACACCACTTTGTCATAAAGCTGAGGGAGGGGGATGGAGCACCTGCCCGGGGAAGACACCTTCCCACATTCATGTCTAAGAAACAGCACCTGGTTCCCACTTCACTTGATGCAAGGGTCCTTTTCATCAGTTCATGTGGGCTTGAGCAGGCTCTGTGGCAATGACCTTCACTTGTCAAGGTCACTGGAGAAGAACCCATCAGCCTGAGGTTAATGTGTTTATCTCATTTGTTTTCTGCAGTGCCTACAGGATCAGTCTTCCACGGTCCAGGCTGTGTGGAAGACACAGACACCAGACAGAGGACCTGGGACACGAGTTCTAGAAAGTTGAGTGGGAAACTCACATGATTTGAGACATACAACAAAATCCTGGCACGACTCTGCCCCCCTGGAGCTCAGCCATCGTCTCATTCTTCCCTTGCTGTACACCTTGGCTCTGTGCTGTGCTCACACGGGCCTTTCATGTGACACAGCTGCCATGTGACTCCTGACCACGGAGCCCTTGCACATGCTGTTCTCAGATTGCAATGCCCTTTCTGCTCTTCTCTCCTGGCTAAATTCTATTGCCATTCCTTCTAAGACACCTCCTCTTTTCTCAAATATACTCTCAAAAATACTTGATCTCTCATTTGGTCATCGTGAGTGACTAATAATTCCTTTCATCTTAGCCATGCTGTTTTACACAGTTCTCTAGGTTTGGTAGGCCATCACTGCTTACCCAGAATTAATGATCTTCTACCAGATGCAGTACATTGAGCTTTTGTGAACAAAACAATGTGTTCGCCCTCATGGAACTACTTTAAAACCACTGCACACATGTCCTTAGATTTACTCTATCCAAAACATTTCTTTTGTACCAGTGGGCTGTGGTCTGTGCCCCTGCTGTTCCCATGTGGCTTAACAGAGGGGCAGTTTGTCTCAGGAGAAGGGAAGGGGGTTAGCTCAGAGTGCAGTAGAACCAAAAGCAAATCAGAGCCAAGGTCATCAACCTGACAGATACAACTACTAAAGGAAGGATCCAGCCATGGAACTTCATGGAAGCACCAGCCCAATCAACTCCACGTGCCCACAGTTCAGTGCCATCCCGCCAATAGAGCTGGACGCAGCCAGTGCATCAGCAGACCTAGCAGGTCTGGTCCCTGAAACACATCACTCCACGACCTGCTTCTTCCACCATGCTGTCTCTACCATTTTCGTCCAACCTGGGCAGCGAACAAGTGCTTTTGAGGAAAAATGTATGAACATGAATAAGGGCAGACAGATGAGAGCAACTTCCTAAGACATAGGACTCTGTCTTGGGGTCCTGAAGTATACGTAGGAGCCTTCTAGGAGGCAGAATGGCACAGGAAAGAGCCATGAAGGATTCTGGTAGGACTACACACCGTAAGTAAGAAATACAGCACAATGCTGATGGACCGGCTCCTATGGATGCAGAGAACAAGCAAGCAAGCTCACCTCGAATTTCTGCCGTAGTTCTTCATTGCCTTCGCTTCCCTCCGGCGGCACAGGCACGTTGAAGTACTCGCCTTCCTCCTGGCTCAGCAGCTTAAACCTTAAAGGGAGACAAGCGGTCAGGACACTTCCAGTGCCTCTCAACTTGATATCACTGTGTCGAAAAGGAGCCTAGTAAAAGCTCTACTTGGAAATGAAGCATGTGGAGATTTTTTATTTTGCATTGTGTCTTGTGTCTTGATCTGTGTGTGTGTGTGTGTGGTGTGTGTAGCCAAGTACAGCGCCTACTTTTGTAACAATTCCATGGACATCAAACAACATATACATTCCCTATTAATTGGATGCATCATTATCTCACTCCACACACAGTTTTCTCTGTGACATCATTCAATTACTCTACAGTAATTTGTTTTTACCTAATTGGTTATTCAGGAAGTGCCCTTCCTGTGCTGAAAGACAGGTACCAAGATCATCCACGGTCAGTGCATTTTTATCAAAGTCTCCCAACATTTTCACTACCTTCCTCTCCACTCGTGAGGCCACCTTGCCACACCCAGTGTTCAACTGAATCGGGATGACCACGAACTTATCTCCCTAGTGCTCCAGCCCCGGAGTCAAGCTCTGCCTGGGTGTCAGGCTTGCCCCTGCCTGGTTGGATAACCTCCTGCAAGCTGGTGGGGGGGGCGGCTCCCAAGCCTTTGTCCTTCTCATCTATCAGCTGGGATAAAAACCCATTCTTACATAATGGCTGTGAAGCTGAAATGAAATGCTGCATGTGAAAAAAAAAATTCAGGGCGTAGCTTAGCATTCAGCAAGGGTTCAATAAATGGCATCATCATTGTCGTTATTCCTGCCATTATTGTAATGAATATGCCAGATTCAATTTGATTGTTGACCACAAAGATGCATCTAGCTGTTCCAAGGATGGGTTGAGACTGAGAAAGGGGGTGGGGGAGGCCTGAGGGGGAGGGCATTCCAAAGGCATTTGGTTCACTAGTGAGGAAGAAGAGACCCCAAAACTCTCAACTCTCTAACCAAAATTGACAATTTCCATCCATTTTTCCCTCTCCAGTCACAAATCTCTCAGCCAGCTTCTGTAAATAGAGGAATTCAACGTATGGGTGACAAATTCAGCATCTGTGCCTCCACACTTAATATCCATTTATCTTCTTCCAAATCTCTGCTGCAATCGCCAACAGAGATGCAAAAACAGGGAAACATCTGTATGTTTGCTGGAAACCAAGGAGGGTGCCATCCACACGGCAAGGACTTCCAGGAATCGCTCAAGTGATGCTGCAAGAAGGTGCAGCGGCGGTTGGCAAACTGAAATCACGTGTCCCTCTGTGGACGGGGATCCATCTGTGTATTATGCCAACAAAAGATTTTTAAAAGTAATAATACGTTTACTTTTACAGGACATTTTCACTCTTCCTTGCAAAGAAAGCACCAAGTAGAAAATCAATGTTGTTCAAGGCCAAGTAATGTTGCTAAGCAAAGCCATGAGCCTAAGGCTCCCTCCCACAACCCCTTTACCACAGGGAGATGAGCAGAGAGCAAGCGTTAATGAGTCTTAAGAACATACCAGAGCCCCCCGAGACTTTGCTCTCTACAGCAACCTAAAAGCATTGGCAAAAGAATAGCTGTAGCAGGGGCAACTGCTGTAATATCACTTGGGTCCCAACAGGGCACAATCCAAATTCACATGCCGTCTCCTTCTCTGAAGAAGACAAGCAGAAGGGCATCGAGCAGCTGCCGCCAGCAAATGGGGCCAGAACTAATCACGTGAGTCAGACCACCGGGGGCAGGTGAGGAACCCCGACTCCCGCCCATCTTCAGGAGGTAACAGGTACACTGGCCCCAGCGTGCGCTCCTGGTGACCTCAGCGGACAAGCTGGCTCGAGGACACTGATCATGCGGCCTCCAAATTAGGACCCCTGTGGCCATGAGTCAAGAGGAACAGGGACCCCTTCCGAATCTGAGATGCAGGAAAGCAACGCGGGCAGAGATCTCTCCAAGGAGCCGCCTTGTTGTCCACTGTCCCCGGATGGAACCTTCTCTCCTAGACCCAGGGAACCAGGAAGCCTGACAGAGCCTGACAAGGCATTCAAGACCACAGAACTCCCTCCCGTCACGTGGATCTGAAAGGTTAGAACAGACACGGGTCATTTCCCGGCTGCCGCTTCTTGCTAGGAGGATGCTCAAGTAAAGAGAACAGGGAGTGAAAAATCCAACATTCCCATAAAGGGAATGTGAGATTAGGTAGTACTTCCCATGAAATAGAGCTATTAGCAGAAGAGGGGAAAATTCTCAAACACATGCAATTCATACTGCCAATGAGATTCTAGAAGCAGTTACATCTGTGAAAAGATATATATCTGAGACGAGGAAAAATTACTTTCAGAAGAAAAATACATTCACTGAATTTAAAAGTCTGCTGGAGACAGGACGGATAATTTAGGTAACAATTAGAAGATAAACCTGAGAAATTTTTCCAGCAGTTGGTTTAATAATTATTAGATTAGATTGGAGTTGAACGGATGCCTTAATTACAACTAAAAAATGGGCATATTACCGAAATTAACATACAACATAAAAAGGAAGACTAACAGAACAAACACATCAGCAAAGACATGCAAATATCCTTCTTTTGTAAAAGTTCATCTAAGTCAGTAAGAAAGCCAAAGACAAGACATTTACCAATATAAACAGACGGCACTACGCAAATAAAAATAATAAAACGTCAGAAATAAAAATACATATTTTTTTGCATCCCCTCTTTGAAATTCACATCAAATGTTGGGAGAGAGAAATAAAAAGTCTCACACAGCACTGATAAGAATGTAAATTGATCTCAACGCTGTAAAAGGCTATGGTGAATACTTCAATAATGCATTATTCTCAAAGCCATCCATTTCCAGCTTAGGAATCTATTAGAAAATAATTAAATCTATGCACTAAGTTTTCCCTACAAGTGTGTTGATCGCGAAAGTATTTTACAGATAAGCACTGCACACTTTATAATAAGAATATAATTATAAAATTGGAGCAGAAATAGACAGTGAACCAAGTGAAGCTACTACAAATGAGGCAGGGGTGGACACTGTGGCATGGCGCATTAAAATGCCTCTGGAAACTCCTGCACACTTGCAAGTGTTCGAATCCCAGCTAGTCTGCTTTGCCTCCAGCTTCCCGCTAATACATCTGAGAAGGCAGCAGATGCTGGCTCAGTTCCTGGAGTTCCTGCTATTCACGTAGGAGACCTGGATGGCACACCTGGCTCCTGTTTCAGAAACTGGGACATGAACTAGCAAACAAAAGACCTCTGCCTCTACCCGCTCTCTGTCATTCCGCCTTTCAAATAAGTAAACGAATTTTTTTTAATACAAGAAAAAATCTGGTGGTCCAAGATTATAGAATGACAGGGAAGCCCTCATAAAACATTAAGCAGAGACTGTAGCTACAAGGGTTTTTTTTTTTTTTAAGATTTATTTATTTTTATTGGAAAATCAGATTTACAGAGTGAAGAAGAGACAAAGAGAAAGATCTTTTTCACTGGTTCACTCCCCAAGTAGCCACAATGACCAGAGCTGAGACGATTGGAAGCCAGGAACCAGAAGCTTCTTCCGGATCTCTCATGTGAGTGCAGGGTCCCAAAGCTTTGGGAAATCCTCTACTGCTTTCCCAGGCCACAAGCAGGGAGCTGGAAGGGAAGTGGAGCAGCTGGGACATGAAGCGGCAGCCTGCATAGGGGATCCCAGCAGTTGACAAGTAAGCCACTAGGCTACGATGCCAGGCCCTGTTGCCACCAGTTTTATAGTAAGAGTCCATTCTGGTCTTACACACACATGCACAGACACACAAACACAAGCATGAGGTCACACACACACACACACGAAAGTCTCTTAATAGTGTTAAATAGAGCCTATCTCTAGTTGCTGGCGCTTTTTATAATGCTTTGCGATAATTTCAATTTTTCTAAGTTACATCAATAATAGTTATTCACACGTACAGAGTGCTTATTGTAAATGAGACGCTGGGCACCTCGTTTGTGATAGGAGCTAGTCTAATATGACAGCCGTCCTGGGACGTGATCACCCCTACTGTCTCCATGGGGGGGTGGGAGACACAGGTGAGGGGGAGTGACATGTTCAAGGGTTCCCAGCTACCAAGCAGCGGAGCAGAAATCCCGGTAAAGCAACATTTAGTGAGACATAACGTCGACTTAAGATCTTTACTGCTTGGTCAGAAAGAGAAAATATTTAGACAACAAAGTACTGTAACAGACTGTAGATGCGGAGACAGCTCCCTGCGGAAAACGAGGGAAGACCTTCAGATTCCGTTTTTGCTTTTTCTTTAGTTTTTGAATAAAAAATCACACCAAATGTCAGATAAAGGAAGCATAAAAAGAGTGGGCAAGTGTCTCCTAGGCAAAGAGGATCCACCAAGCACTATCCAGGATCACCACGTCCCAAGAGAGAACGCTGTGTCACTCCCCCACTCCCCGTCTCTTGCCGAGTAGGAAAAATCCTGGGCCCGGTACGGTGGCCTAGCAGCTAAAGTCCTCGCCTTGAACGCGCCAGGATCCCATATGGGTGCCGGTTCTAATCCCAGCAGCTCCACTTCCCATCCAGCTCCCTGTTTGTGGCCTGGGAAAGCAGTCGAGGAAGGCTCAGATCCTTGGGACCCTGCACCTGTGTGGGAGACCTGGAGGAAGTTCCTGGCTCCTGGCTTCACATCAATGCAGCACCGACCACTGCGCTCACTTGGGAAGTGAATCATCAGACAGAAGAAAGAAAAAGTCCTGATAAGGCTCTCCTAGGCCCTGCCCCTCAGTCTCTGGACCTGATGCTCCATGGGGCATCTCCTCCTTAAGCTAGCTCCAGCTGCACAGGCTGAACCTCCTCCGATCCAGCACGCTCCTGCCCCAGGGTCTTTGCACCGGTTCTTAGCTCTCCCCAGACACCACACTGCTGACTGCCCCCACTCTGGGCAACTCTTTGCTTCTCTGTCATTTTTTTTAGTGAATCCTTTTCTGAACACCCTGAAATCTCCTAAGTGCCTCTCCGTCCTCATTCCTCATGGACTGTTCTCGATCGGATT